CTTAGTTCACTATAAAAAATAGCTCTGATACCAATCTGGCACACCCGAAACCGAAATGGCGAAAACGTTACGTGGTGGACGACATCATGTATAGTATCACAACAATTGTATCATAGTAATCAAAGTAACCACAACCATTACATTGAATATATAAGTTATATAGATCCGTTTGATACATAATTTTGTATACATCAAAATATAACAAAAGAGTAAAACACGTGACTCTATGAGCTCCGTCTTCTCAAAAGCTCACGGGAGTACATGTCTACTGTTTTCCTGAGAATACAAGCGATTTTGAACGTGTATCAACATTTAACTTGGTGAGTTCATAAGAATGTTTTTGTAATGAAAACTTGTTATTGAATCCGTAAAACGTTTGTATGTTTCTCAAGAAAATCCAATATTTTCTTTAGTAATGAAAAGTAGTCTTAAACCCTAAGACTAAAATGTATGTAAGTTATTGTGTTCTGTAATAGTATATGAAAATGATTGTTTGTATGCCTGGCTACCACCAACTGTATTGTATAACGTTGTTCTGTATGAAACTCTTGTATGAAAACCCTGTCTATCACTAGTATGTATATTAATTTTATTCCTTAAAATAAAACCATGTATTGTATCCTATGGAGTCCTCCAGTGTAGTGTATAGTAGTTTTATTAATTAAAACAAAACTAATGAAGAATGAAATCCCGTAAACAAAGGTAACCTATACTGTTGTGAGTTTGGTATAACCATGCTTGATATGACTAGTGACCTCTATGATGTTCTTCACGCATCAGAATGGTATGATATTTGTCACCCCAGGCATGTCTGTCTAACTGTAGTTGGCAGTTTAGGTGTGGTATAGTCAATCCCAAATAGATCTATTCACAAATCTCACACTCTCCCTCCAAGAGACTCTGGTTATATCGTGGTAGGATTTAACCCGCACCCCAAAGGGTACAATTGAAGCAGTGCCTCACAACCCTGTATTAACTAGTTTACTTGTAGTGTTGTATTGTTCTCTTGTACTTGATACAGTATGTATACTTGTAGAGTAAAAATAATTATACTTAAATCATTATTTAGTGTTGTACTCTTGTGTTCAGAAAGTAGTAATGTATACCATAAAATATATCTACCATAGTTTATATGTTTGTTAATGCATAAGTTGTGAATTAGTAAAATTGTGTAATGAAATCCCAAACTATACCTATTATAGTTTCCATGTATGTTATGTACTCGGGTCACGCGTTGTTCTGAAAGACTTTGCAATTATGGTTGTAAGTTGAAAACTTCCCTTATGCTCAACATGTTACAAAAGGGATAAAATATCTAAATGTTTTATAAAATGTAGTGATCTCTTGGTTGTATCAATTCCATAAGTTTTAATTACGTTGCAATCCTTTGTATAAGAACACAAAAAAATCTTTGTATCTGGCTTGTATTCCCCCCTAAAAACATTAAAAACAGTAAAAGCGTAGGGTTATGAACTCACAGTTGATTATGTGCACGTGCTCAATAGAAAAACCGGAAAGATGACCCATGGTGTCCTAACGATAAATAAACACATAATTGTATTTTAGTTAGTGAAACCATTAGTTGTAGTGTTGGAAAATACTTGCTTTTGGTTTGGGAATATTATCGAGACTTGTTTGAAATCGGAAAAATGGGTTTTCAGCCAAGGTGAACGGCTCAAAGCTGTTTGTGGTTGGAATCTCGGGTTTACAACCATGAAGAGGGTTTACGGCCGTGAACGAGTTTGTGGCCATGAACTGATTTCGGTTGTGAACGGTTTACAGCCTTGGAAGATTTGAAGGTTGTTCTTGATAAAAAACTTGAAGATTTGAAGGTTTGATCTTGATGATATGAATGTTCTTGGGAGGTCATTGGGAGCACTTGAGAGAGTTTTTGGGTGAAAAAGATGAAAAATGAGAAATCTCTCAGGGAAAACCTTTATACTGGTTGCGTTTACGGTCGGAGCTTGGCTTCTCGGTTGTAAACAGGTTTACTGCCCAGGGTTTACGGCTAGGGGTTTAAGGCCATAAACGCAAGGCTAGACGGGATTTTGTTGATTTTTGAAGGAAAAAACTTGTTTTTCCATGTGATTTTGGTTCCGACTCTTATATAAATTTAATTTATATAAATTAAATGATTTTCTAACCCACAAGAATTTAACGAAACAAATAAAATTTAAAATTTTATTTAACGGAATTTTACTTTCGTTGACTGAAAAAGGCTCGGGTTGTCACAGTCTAATATATGAAAGCGATAAAGAAAACAAGATCTAAATAAGATATGTTTAGCTCCTATTAAGTCTAGAAAGAGTACAAAGGTATTGAGTAAAAAGAGTAATCAGATAGTGTTCCTTACTCTAGATCTAAGCACTTACCCTAGTTATAGGGTACATCAGACATACAAATAATACAAGGACTTGACCCTACATATCGCAACTTGAAATCTCCTTGTAAATAGAATAGATAACGAAAGTGATGAACTATTGTTATTTACATACACGAAACCTAAAGATATAGCTTTCGAATCTTACTACAACTTTTGATTCTACAACCTCCCCCTTAGTGAGAATAGTTGAAACTTCAAGCTATAATCTTCATTTCCTGTAACAGCTTCCTTTAAATCTCCATATACCAAGGAATGCTTTTTTGCATCACCGCTTTGTCTTTGTTGTCATTCTTCTTGCAGTTAATGATACAGATATCACCGCTTTGTCTTTGTTGTCATTCTTCTTGCAGTTAATGATACATATTAAAAGAGTCAAAAAAAATGAGAGTTTGTGTATGTTTCATTGTCATTCACATGGAACAAAAATTTAGTTAAATTTCCCTTATTGTTCTTTCCTTGGAAAACTACGCAAAAAGGTTGAGGAAAAATCTCACCATCTTCAAGTTTATCCATGTTCATCCATCCCTTTAACAATGATTGAGGCACCTTTGAAGTCTTATTGATTTCCATAGCTAGATCTATGTCAATAATTGCCAAATACTTGTAGTAGTAATCAATAAATGCCTTTATGTGACCATATCCAAGAATAATTGCATCTCTATTCGCCTCCGCCACTTTTGAAACATCAACATTGCACAAAATCTTTGATATAGTGATGAGATCATTCAGCTTCATCAATGGAAAGTCTGCAATTGTGAACTCAAATGCCACATTCTTTTCCCTTATGACAGAATAACAAAATTTATGTAGCAATCCCTAAAACAACATATTAGACCCTATTGACATCATTTTAGCTCTCTTCACCAAAGACCAAACTTCCTCTTCGCTTTTTCCTAAGACTGCATGAAAGCAAATCTGTAATCTCTTGTATCCATGTTTGTCATTGAAGTTTTCAGTTATTTTGAACTGAGTAGACATGAATAATAGATGATTGAATGGGAAGTCAAGTTGATTGAATTCTGAGCTTTTAGTTTCATAGCTTCTCTTAGCCTATTTCAAGAATTCATTAGTTTTACCGAGAACAACAATCTCGATTATTTCATAACACCAACGCTTGTTAGATTACCCTTGTTCAAGCTTGGTGGATCATTCACCCTTTGAAGATTTGAGCCAACTCTACCTTGATACTTGACTCAATGTTCAAAACCATAGCATAAATCGAATATTAAGAAATGGAAGATTGAATTGAAAGATCAACTTTTGATAATGTTTCTTTAAAATCTGACAAAAACTCTTTGACTTTCTCAAACACTTTGTCATCATTCTTAGTTTTGACTTAAAGATCTTTCACATACTCTTAGTTGAAGGCAGTAAAATCTTTTATCAAGAGTGTTGTACTGTTGGCTACTACATCACCCTTTTTATGCAGCAGGTTGGAGTTGTCATCTAACTTCCTAACCTCTTCAGCCATCAAGGTTTGAAGCTAAGTAACCTGGAGTTCAAGAGAAGCTTTCACTTTAGACACCTATTTCATAAAGAGTTCATGATACTCTTTCGCAACATCATGAAGTTTAGAAATTTCATGATAAAAAATTCTAGATTGATTTTCCATCCACTCTTCATATCGCTTATCCACATTTCAATGAAGGTTTTCAGACGAGATTCTCGAGATTGTAAAATATATTCAACTTTAACAGTACTAACTAAGTTCTTGCCACCAATATCAGCCAGAAATTAAATAATAGAATTCATTTTAGAGTTAACAAATTTGAATTGTTTACCCAACATGATTAACTCATTAGGTATATATTATTCATCAGTTTGAACTGTAACTTAGTCACCGAAACGATAGCATCATCATCATCTGCTTCAACATCATGAATGGTCTTCTCAGGTTTAGTTGATTGAGATGAGAAAATAGTAGCAATAGGTTCTTAAATTATACAAGCAAAAGCTGGAGAAAATGTTGTAGTAGATAAAGGTGGAGTAATTGATGTAGGTCGTGGATAAGTTGGTGGTGGTGGTGGAACAGTAGTTGTTTCAACTATTGTTCTAACTAGTGTTGTTGTTTCTATTGTGTTCATCGCTTCACTTATCAGATAAGTTTTCAGTGATATATGGAGTTTTAACCTCCTCCATAATGGAATTAGTATGCAAAACCCTGGGTGGTATGAATTTTTCCTGCTCACGGATTGTTGTGCACCAGAATTGATATTTACATCCGTATTAGATACGTTTGGATTGACATCAGAAATACTTATATCCTCGATAGTCAATTTGATAGGGGTATCCTTTCGTGGTGTCACATGAAATGAACCTCCCATTTATATATATATATATATATATATATATATATATATATATATATATATATATATATATATATATATATATGTTCCATCACTTTCATGTTTCGATCCCACAATAACATCATCTATTTTATCCTTAGCAGGAGTTGGCTTTCACTTCTTTAATTTTTGAACCACATCCAATGCATTCCTCTTTCTTGATGAGGAGAACTAGGATACAAAAACTCACTAATCACAACTCCTTTCCTTGTAATCTGTAGCTTCTTAACCCTCTTTGAAACAACCTTTTTCTCAATAGGTTTGCCATTTTATGTAAGTGTTTCTTCAATAGAAGCAATAATCTCAATAGGAACTTTCTCAGCTATTGGCTCAACAGTTTCGACTATAAGCTCTTTAGTGGGTTGTGTGGTTTTAGATTCAGATGGTTTCATAGCAGGTTTCTTTGTTCTTTTAAGTACCCATTTTCCTATTTTTGTGGGTACAGTCTCATTAACCACTTCGTCTTCTACTTATTTTGACTTTTCTTATTGTTTATTTCTCTTTTGACCCTTAGATGCTTTCAATAAACCTTCAATGCCATTAGATGTAGCCTTTGGTGGAAGAATACCAGTTTGAGTGCAATCCATTAAAGCAAGATATTGAATCAGCAATTGATGCATATGATCGACTAACTTGAGCATCAAATCAGAAGTTTGAGTAACCATTGGTAATATCGTAGCATCATCCACCACGAATTTTGGAACTGTCATTACGGGACTCTCGGCAGTTGCTAGTTTGGAATGGGAAATCAAATTCCCAAATTCTTCCTACAACAACGATGCAAAATCAACATCTAGTCCATAATACAACCTAACCATAATCGAGTAAACTTCAAGGTTTGTCTTATCTAACCCTAAACTTCAACATGTTAAGCATCTTAGAATAATTCCAATGAAAAAACTCCAAACACAAGGCAAACTTGACTTCTTGAAGTAACTCATAATTGATAAAGTGGGTTGATGACCCATCTCAATGAACATATGGATGACTTGTTTAGTGGTAACATCATAAAACATACCTGTAGAAGGTAACTTCAGAATTTGGGCAAATTGCTTCTTGGCAAATTTCTTCATTTTATTGGACATCAATTGAAATGTAAGAATTTTGTGGTTTTGTTGTAAACGGCAGTGGAAGTAGCTAAAGATAGCCATTGCATTGGAATTTCAAATGAAAATGATAAATCATGATTAAGAAAAGAGTTGTTCAAAACCAATACCATCATTTGTAGTTCTTCAAGATAAACATCAAGCAATGGATTAAGCTAGTGATTGGTGTGTTGAATCTTCATCATTGTTTGTGTAATCTCTTCAGTATTAGTATTGAATTGATAAACGATGTTTTTCTTAGAAACCATTTGAGTAGATTGAGAGAATTTTTATGAGACAATTTGCAATGAATAGTTAGGGTTCTTGAGATAATTCTAGGAGCATAAAATTAGAAGGGAATGAGCAGTTTCCTTAAATAACTAGCGTGAAATTTGAATTCAAAACGTCTCCCTATGATATAATGTCACATGGAATATTGGTTACTTAATTGTCACAACAGAAAATTGCTACATATAAAAGTGATGATCACCTTTTGCCTCGAGCCTTGTGAAAATCTTGAATCGTCCCATCCACCGGATATTTTGCATCCCCCAATAAAAAATAAACCACCATGTCTTTCAGTACATCTATAGAACCATCCTTCATTATGGAGACTGAGCTTATTCACTTATGGGAAGGATAAGCGAAATCATTTTCCATACTTTGCAAAATCTAAGTTTCGAGTTGGTAATACTCAAAACCTCAAGGATTTCAGTGCATAAGTGTGCCAAGGAAAACGATAGAATCAAAATAAAAAAATGGCATTGTGATATCAAAAAATCTTTGATATAAAAGCAGATAGATCATGGGCAAACATACACTTCATTCGACATCAAGAGAGATGACAAACTACTTGTGTGGTTACTCGTGACTTACAATTAAAAACTCATTGAGGAGTATCGAAGGGCCTCTTTTGCATAAGGTTCATAGGTGGTTTCATTTTCACACAAATTTACAACTTGACATAAGTGTAAAAAGTTGTGCAAAAGTACTTGGATGACCAGTGTATTCAAGAACAAGTAAGCTTTGAAAATTTTGAACAAAAGTTAGAGAAGGAGGTTCAAAGGGAAATATCATTTCATGAAAAATTAAAAAGTGTATCTATTGGATAGAAACAACTTGGGTGAGTACATTTCATTAAGATCACAATGGAAATGAAAATGAGATTTTGAACATCAAAAGGGGTACATTGAAACAAATGTTTCATGATAATCATGAACATAAAATGTTCCCCGTCAATTCATTAAGTTGAGATTTGTTGGGTTTCACCTTCATCATGGGAAAATGATTTAGGATCATTAACACAAACTTGTGACATACCTATATTATGTTTGGTTTCGACTAGAGATGTCTTGGGCATGTGTCATTGTGTGTGATTTTGTTAGAAAATTTGGGTGAAAAAAGATTGGATACAAAGACTCGTTGTACCTCTATGAAAATTGACTTTGCAGAAATTTCTTTACTCACCATGAGAAGAGAAAGGTAGGTCGTCGACTATTGTGAATACAGTCTAATTGGAAAGAAAGTTTCATGTGAAACAATTCATTAAGGCTTTAAACACAAAGAGTCTATGAGGCTTGTAGAAAATATGTTGCAGCATGCTTCTAAAAACACCTAACTAGGACAAAAGATTCATATCATGCCTGGTTCCTTTGAATTTTCTCATTTAGCATGCGAAAGAACAACATGTTGTTACAATGAGCTTCTAAAACAAATAAAGAATTTTTTTTTTTTTTTTTCAATTTTTGTAAAGATGAAAATTCAAACATAACGAAAATATTTTTGGATTTTTTATTTTGTAAATGTAAAAACAAAAAATCTTTTTGGTTTTTGAATTTTATAAACGAAAATACAAAAATAAGAAAATATTTTTGGATTTTTGAATTTCATAAACGACAAGACAAAAATAAGAAAATATTTTTGGATTTTCGAGTTTTATAAAGGATAGAACAAATATAAGAAAAGCTTTTGGATTTTTAAATTTTATAAACGAAAGGATAAAAATAAGAAAAAGATATTACAAACACTAGTTATTTACTAGAGATAACAAATACTCCACACACGAACCAATGTTTTCTTATCTCCAAGGAAATATCCCAAAGATAAGCACTCACCAAAGACATGTACTTTCCGTTGAAAGACTAATTCCATACACGAGATGGGTACTGAATGAATCAAAGGAAAATCGAATGTGAACGTTGAATGTGACCAGTAACCTTTGAATGAATAGATACATGTAAAAAATAGTTAGTAAGACACTCGAAAGTTAGATAAACAATCAAAAGTTAATCCAACAGTCAAAAGTAAGTCCAATATAGTCATTTTTTTAAAAATCCAAGACAAATTATGTAGAATGTGGAACATAACAAGCTTCCATCATTTCCAATCCATTTAAAATTCTTAAAAATGATTTTTTGTCCAATGGCTTTGTAAAAATATCAGCAAGTTGATCAGTTGTCTTGACAAAATGGATTTCAATATTCCCATGTTCAACGTGATCTTTGATGAAATGGTAACGAAGAGCAATATGCTTGGTTTTCAAGTGTTGAACTGGATTATGACATATGGAAATTTCATTTTGAAAATCAGAAATATAATTGAACTTTCATTATGTTAATCGCATAATCACGTAATTGACTTTGGATCCATATCACTTGAGATGTACACACTGCAACAACAATATATTCAGTCTCACCTGTTGAAATTGATACGCATGTTTGGTTTTTCGATAGTCAACTCACAAGTTTCCCGTCTAGAAGTTTCCATCCTCATGTCGTGCTCTTTCGATTTAATTGACAGCCCCCTAGATCCGCATCTGAGAAATCTTGAATAAAGAATCCTGTTTTCGACGGATACCACAGGACAAAAGTCATTGTACCATGTAGATAACGAAAGATGTTTTCACTGCAGTAAGATGAGGTTCTCTTGGATTTGCTTGATATCTGGCACAATACATACATAACATATTATATCAGGTTGACTTGCAGTTAAATACAAAAGTGAACCGATCATGCTTCTATATGTTTTAATATCAACAGATGACTTATCCAATGAAGGACCTAAGCGAGTGTTGACTGTCATAGGAACTTTAGTTTTCATGCAATTCATCATTCTAAATCTTTCAAGCAGGTTTCAAGTGTAATTTTCTTGATTGATGAAAATTGCTTTCTTACCTTGATGAATATTTAAACCCAATAAATGATTTATCTTTCTCATCATGCTTATTTTGAATTGACTCTTCATAATCTCCTTAAACTCCTTTGACAACAAAGGATCGGTTGAAATAATATAATGTCATCAACATAAATTTGAACGAGCATCAAATGATCCCCTACTTTCTTTCGAAATAAAGTGGGATCAACATATCCTTGCTTAAATTTTGCGATTTTCAAAAAATTGGTAAGATCACATACCAAGGACGAGGTGCTTGTTTGAACCCATAAACTGTCTTGTCAAGAATATAAGAACAGTCAGGAAACTTATCATTGACAAAACCAGGTGGTTGCTCGACATAAATTGTTTCTTTAAGAACATCATTAAGGAAAGGACACTTAACATCCATCTGGTAAACGCCGAAATCCTTATAAGCTACATAAGCTATAAATTTCATAGAACCTCGAGTCTTACATTAGGGGAAAAGGTTTCTTCATAATAAATTCCCTCTTGTTGACAATGACATTTTTCGACTAATCTTCCTTTGTTACGAACAATATTTCCTTATTTTTCCATTTTATTTTTAAAAATCCATTTTAGACCACCTATCGAAACATCATCAGGTTTAGGAACCGATCTCCAAACCTTGTTTCGTTCAAATTCAATCAGTTCAGCCTGCATTGCAACAACCCAATCAGGATATTCTAATGCCTTCTTGATTGTTTTTGGTTTAATCTTCAAAATAAGGATATTAAACATACAAAATTCCTGATGAACATTTAAAACCTCATTTTTGGCTCGAATCTGTGCTCGTGTCGAAACACTATGTTAGGGAAAACAAGCGACACATGTCAAGATTTAGAACAAATCTAATACCACTTGCCAAGTTCTGATGACCCTTGTTAGAAAGTAATGCGGATAACAAGCAAAACTATAAGCACACATAGACACATAATTTACGTGGTTCGGTCAAGGTGACCTATGTCTACAGGCAAGAGGGGAGTATTCTTTATTTTAGATTTATCAAATAGAGGTTACAAGTAGACTTCAACCGAGATTATTCCTACTCTCTAAGGATACAATATACAAGATACAAGACTAGACAAATGACTCTACATGCATCCCTATTTATACTTTAGGTATCAAACCTAAAACCCTAATGGGCCAAGCCCATTGTCCTATAGGCCCGTGAATGGTGACAACCAATCATATTCCGCCATGCAACATCTTCTGGAACATTTATCCACGCCACAAAACCCATGAGCATCAACAACACACATGATGGAGCGCCTTGTATCATAGTGGAGCATCATGATTTACAAGTGGCGCATCATGAACACTAATGGACCAACATCCATCATGGTGGCACAACATGGTGTAATCCTTGAGCAATACTAGCTTCTAAGCATCCTTGAATGATCTTGAGCATCATAGAGGACTTGATAGCATACTTTGCTCATTAAGGACCAAGATGGTCCAATTTGCACCATGATGATGCAACAAGTGTAGGTATGGCACAACAGGATTCAATTGTGGCACAAGAACATCAAAATTGGAGGAATAACACCACCACCTTGGCGCAACAGGAACATACATGGCACAATAGGGCCATGCATGGCGCAAGAGCATACTCCATGGCTCAATAGGAGTACCCCATATTGTAAGCGGGATCCTCATGGATCAAGAGGAACCCCTCGTGATGCAAGAGGGAGCATCATGGTGCAAGAAGGAATGCCCTTGGCACAACAACATACTTATTGGCCCATCCCTTAAACCTCATATAAACAGGGATACATAAATAGCCTAACATGTTAGTGATTAGGGCTTAGGCCCAATGCCCTTGGGGTTTAAGTTATGATATTTATGTATCCTTGTTTATATGAGGTTTAAACCTCAAAAAAATAGTGAAACAAAAATAACCTAACCTAAACCTTACAGACATCGTACCTTAACTCTAATCACTAACACTGTACGGTTGAAGTACTCCTTGCCTAATGGTTACAGGTTTATATCGGCTTAACAAGTGAAAAAGTTCTTCGATGGCTATGATTAAAAAAACCTTTTTATAATGAATTTTTCCATAAACTATTCAATGCTATAAAGACTTCTAAAATGTGATCATTAAATTTCTACCCAAGGGTAATACTTTTATAGAAAATATTTACAAAAGTCTTGTGGTTTCATTTTTATTTACAGTAATACAGTAAAAATATTTTGTTATGGATAATTCTTTTATGAAAAAAAATCAAAAACCAAATAATCCCACCTATTTTACAAACGAACGGTGTTCATCGATGGTGAGGGGTTTGTAAGGACAGTTTCGACTAGGTTCCCGGTGTGGCACCGACAACACCTAGTTTCCGTGTATGCAGTGCAAATTTTATTCAAAAACTTTTTTTACCTATTGTGCCACTATTTTAAAAAATTGGCTACTACGTAAAAGAACTGCCAACTACGTAAAAAAATTGCCACTCTATTGGATCAACCAAACCCAAAAATATATTTATAACTTAGACTTATTAATTAGTAGTCCAAAAAGCCTATTAATTTTAGCCCAAAAAAACTAATATAGCCTAATGGCATTTAGATAATTGGATCTTTTGATCCAATTGGGAGAATGACAAAAACGTTTAAGAGACAATTAATCAATAATGGACAGGAGCGAAAAAAAATATCGAGCCATCGAACACAGGGAGTTAAGAGCGGATGCACACACACACACGTTGATTTCACTCACGACAGACACGACTCGATGACTTTTGCTTGGTGAGTGATGCTTTCATTGCTAATTCCTTCTAATTTATTGAGTGTCTTGTTGATTTAGTTGCCAAAACCGATTCCCATTTGTTCCATTTGACTCCAAGTCCTAGCTTAGAATGAAACAAGTAAGGGTTTGAAAATTGAAATTTTACCAATTTGTTTAGGTTGAAATCGGAATTGCTATGTTTTTATCTTGAATTGGTGAAACTGCTATGTTTTTATTGATGTTATTGACTTATTGATTGATCTGGTGAAATAAAATTGTTATGTCTTATTGTCTTTATTAAAGTATAATTTTGATTTGGTGTAATTTGTATGTTTTTATTGAATCTATTGGATGATTTGGTGAAATTATTAGTTATTTAACTTAATATTGAATTGTAGGTTACCCTTGGTGGTTTTCTTACCAAAAGACCAAGACCTAATCCTAATGAAAGTGGTGACAGATCTTCCCAAACACCAATCACCAATCAATCAATTCCTTCAGTCTCTAATGCAATTCCACAAAGACCATGCTCTAATGAAACTAATGATGGTGTTGATTTTAAAATCTTCCAAAAGTCCCGACGGATAGGCCAAAGATTACAAGTTATGCCTCAAATATAAGAGATGATGTAAAAAGGGCATATTTGCTTCAAGGAATTTGTCAAATAAGGCTACACAAGTTTCCAAAAAAGAAAATAGGTGATAGATTAAGAAGCTTCATTCCTTCATGGTTTAACGATTTTTATTGCTTGGAATATAGTGTGAAAAATAAAAAGGCATATTGTTTATATTGTTATGTGTGTGGAGACCTCATAGGACAAAAAGGAGGGAGAGATGCATTTGTTTCCCAAGGTTTTGATACTTGGAGTAAAAAAAATGCATTTCCAACTCATGTGGGTAATGTTGATAGTTTTCACAATAAAGCAAGAGAAAGGTGTGACTTTTTATTGAGAGAAAAACAAGTAGTTAATGTAGTCTTGAGGAGGCAAACCGAAGCGGATGACCATAAATATAAAGCGTAATTATGTGTTTTTATTATTGTTGTGAGACTTTTATTGAAAACCGGTTTACCGTTTCGTGGTAATGGCGAGTCGGTTGACTCGGAAAATAGATGGCTTTACATTAAAGTGTCAAAAGCCATTCGAGAGACTAGTGAAGATATTTTCAACAATACTTTAGAAAATGCTCCTAAAAACAATCAACTTATTTTCCCTAAAATGTAAAAAGAACTTGTGCAATGTTTTGCACAAGAAGTATTTTTGAGTACTCGTCAAGAGATTGGTCAAGATGTATTTGCTTTATTGGTTGATGAATCTAGCAATGTCCCAAAAAAGGAACGAATGACTATTGTTTTGTGATATGTTGATAGTCTTCGTTTTGTGAAGGAAAGATTCTTTGGAGTCGTGCACGTGAAGGAGACATCCTCTTTGACACTAAAAAACGCCTTAAATGAAGTACTTACAAGTAATAAGTTGAGTTTTAGTTAAATAATTTATTCTTTACTTTTTTGTTACTCCAGTTGAAGTTAATTAGCTTTGTGTTATATTATTTATATATTTTTTAATTTTTTAATAGATAAGAGGACAAGGTTATGATAGGGCTAGCAATAGGCGAGGGGAATTCAGTGGTTTGAAAGCTTTGATATTACAAGAGAATGACACAGCTTTTTATGTATATTGCTTTGCATAGCAACTTCAATTAGTGGTTGTAGTTGTAGCAAAGAAGCATGATAGTGTTAGTGACTTTTTTGAGCAAATTTCGTTGGTGGTTAATGTTGTTTGTGCATCGTGTAAAAGAAAATACTTGCTACAGGAACAAGCAAGAGAAAGGGTGCAAAAAGGCTTGTGTAGTGGTGAACTTGAAATGGGAAGAGGGTTAAATCAACAAATTACACTTGTTCGGGCGGGAGATATAAGATGGGGTTCACATTTCAACACACTCACAAGTCTGATGAGGTTGTTTGCGGATGTTCTTGTGGTTTTAGAATTTGTGAAAGTGGATGGAGGGTCATTGGCAAACTGCCAACAAGATCCGTAATCTTAGCACATTTTAAATCTTATGAGTTCGTGTTTTACTTATATGTGATATATGACATTTTACGCCTCACGGGTACATTATCAAAGCAACTTCAAAAAAAGATCTAGACATTTTAAAAGAGGCTTCAATGGTTAGAGGGACAATGGACACATTGTAATTTTTAAGAGATACGGGGTTTGCTAGCATTTTGCCAAATGTCTCCTCTTTTTGTCAAACACACAATATTGCTACTTTGGAAATACAGGATTTTATGTTGGTGTTAGAAACCGTATGACCACAAAGACCAATAGATTTCATTTTGAGGTTGAAATCTTCAACAATATGTAATTGACAAAATACCGGGATCGATTTAGTGAAACAAGCACCCAGTTACTAGAATACATGGGTGCTTTGAGCTCTTGTGATTCATTTTTCAATTTGACAAATCAAGGTTGTTGAAGTTTGCTAAGCTGTACAAGTATGACTTTGATGATTTGGATTTGATAGATCTTGAAGGACAACTTGAGATATTTATCACACTTGCATCAAAGATGAGCGTTTTACCACTTTGAAAGGAATTTCCTAGTTTTCTCGTTTGATGGTTAGTACGGGGAAACATCGGTCTTATCCTTTGGTTTATAAGCTTTTAAAGATGGCTTTGATATTACCCATAGCAACTGCAAGTGTAGAAAGATGTTTTTCGAAGATGAAGCTCTTGAAGGCCAACTTGCGCAACAAGATTGGCGATGAGTTTTTGAATGATGCGTTGCTTTGCTATGTTGAGACCGAAACACTTGTGAAAGTTGAGAATGATAAGGTAATGGAACGGTTTCAAAAGATGTCTGCACGAAGAGGATAAATTTAAATTGTAATAGATGATACATTTTTGTTATGTTTTTAACCTTTATGTAATGGATCGCTTATTTGTATTAGACGTAATGAATTATTTTTTGGTTTTATATTATGTTTGACCGGAAAAAAAAAATTCGGCAGCGCCTACTCTCAATTCCTGCGTCCGTCCCTGGGGGTTTGTCAGCAGCGTTGTGAATGCGAGTGTGTTGGGGTAAGCGGGTACTTCACCGGTGGTGCAATGGTCCTCATTAACCGTTATCCAGAGAAAACGAACAAGTGTATATAGTTATCAACTGTGGTTTATATTCTTCTCCATTCCTTTAATAATTGCAACTCCGGTATTACAGGGTCAATTCTTGTCCGATTGAACGGACTATCGAAGTTATTTTTCGGGTTAATTCAAGTTCATGTGAGTGAATTGATGAAACCAGACAAGTTTCAAACTTATCACCACGATCGCCATTGTTCCGGCCACCATAATTATTTCCGGCCACCGCCATAATTTACGGCTGCAAAACCCAATTAGAAAATGCAATTGATTAATATTGAAATTAAGATTTAAAACACCAAACAAAACCACTGCAAATAACATTAATAAGGAAGGTTTGGGAAGCCATTACGAGTAGCATTACCATGAGCAATATTCTCTCATTGTTTACCATTTTATAACTCAATGATCAATAGCATTCGTAGATCTAGGAGGAACATTCGTTCTATGATCATTATCACAAAGATATTATGCACCTCGTTTTTTCATTAAAAAGAAATAATATAAGCAGCCAATCACAATCGGCGATGATTTTGAGTAGCTAGAGGATATAAGGCCATACGGTATACATGCAACGAGCATGTTCGTGGTTGAGCTGGCCACGAACAACGGGCGTGCACACTACCCCGTTGTTTCGTGGTTGGTCGTTCTCGTTCTCACTCGTGTTCGGGACAACGGAAGCGCACATCCAATGGGATTGAAGGAACGATTTGAATGTTAGACTAGCTCTTGAACGGCTAGTTTGTTAAAAAAATCAATTTATAAACAATTTATTTTCCTATAAATACAACACCTTAACTTCTTAATTTTTACACCATTCTTTTCTATCTTTATACATAATTTACATACTACATCTTCACCACCAAAAACCATGGATCCCAACCAAAACACCCCTCCAAACTACAGAAATCGCAAAATCGATAACGCTTTTGCGTTAGATACAAGTCCTCGCCAATTCCCGACGATGGAGTTACCTCAATGTGGTTTTATCAATGTGGTTTTATCAATCTACTTCAAACCGGTTGCCCTATCCAACAAACACCACTTTTCCAACAACAATATCAACCTTTTTCGGCTTTACAACAACAACAACAACAACAAATGCAACAACAATACCAACAATTTCAACAATTCCAACAACAATCGTCACAACAACAACAACCACCAAGCTCACAACCACCACTTTCACCAGATTTTGTTGCGGAAACGCAACCTTCACCACCACCTCAACCAAAAAAGAAAAAAGAAAAAAAACCGACCCGACCCACTACAACCCAAGAAAGGGTCCCATGGACAAAAGAAGAAGAAGAAAAGTTAGCGGGAGGCATGGGTGGTGGCATCCGAAGATCCAATTGTAGGAGATAGTCAGCCTTACGGAAGTTTTTGGGAAAAAGTATGAGACATTTTTTACGAGTTAATGGAAAGTGAAACTCGAAATGCCGATCAAATTACGTCGAAATTGCGAGATATTCGACTAAAATGCACCGAGTTTGGAGGAATCTACAACAACCTCCTAAACATACGCAAAAGCGAGTCGAACGATTTTGATTTTTGCAAGGCGGCCATGGACCAATTTGAAAAAACAACGCCAACACGCAAAGATTTTCCGCATATGAAACCGTGGCTAAAATTGAAAGACGCCCCAAAATGGAAAGACCAAACGTAAGGAACTTCCCAATCTTCCAGTTCAAAGCGTTCGAGAAACTCCGATGGAACTTCTCAACAATCGGACGGCGGAACACAAATCGACATCAACAACGATCCGATAGATCTTGAAAACGACCAAACTCTTTGTCGGCCCATTGGAAGAAATAAAGCAAAAAAAAACGGTGTCAACATCTTTGAATTCTAGTGTTATGGGTATGTTTGGCGATAAATTTGATCGATATGTGCAACTTTAAGAAACGAAGGCCGAGGTGATGACTCGGATGGAACAAAAAATGATTGAAGCACAATCATCATTTCAAGAGGCACAAGAGACACTCCAAACAAAAACGATATGGAAATCTTGAAAATGAAAGCGAACGACCTCGAGGGCGAAGACTTGGAACTTTTCCAAGTGATGAATGAGTCGGTTCGAACCCGACGTAGGCGTAGGGGGTAGTTTATTTTATTTATGGTTGGAATTTTTAGTTTTTTTTTTAATTTTTTAATTTTAACTAATGTATTTTTTTTTTTTTTTTTTAATTTCAATTAATGTAGTTTTTATTTAATGTAATTTGGTATTTTAATTTAATGGAAAAATTAGTATTAAAAAAATGATTTTAATGTATTTTTGAATTAAATTTAAATAAAAAAAATGAGGTGGAATGGTGTGTTAGTGATAGGTATCTCATGCTAGTGGTAGGAGAATGTGATGTTGATGTGACACCCACCACATATGTGGTATGTGGTGGGTATAACAGATGATCTAAGGGAGATGGAGGGACTCGTGGTTTAAGCAAAATGATAATGCATGCTTATACGAAAAAAAAAAAAAAAAAAAAAAAAAAAAAAAAAAACCGATAAGTAGGAGAAAGGGGATGAAAATTTTGTTTTTTTCACCTACTTTTTAATATAATAATAAAAATATATGGGTCTACAACTGTTGATCATATTTTGATAAATAATTTTAAAAATATCAATACATTGGTAAATAATTTTGACGCAACCCATGTTTTAGTAACAAAACTCTTGTATTATGTGGTACTGATTTTATCTTATTTGCTAATGCTTGTAAAAGGGTTGTTATTCCGCCTCCCCTTAAAAAAAAGCCTTGGGTGATGTTTGGTTCGTGGAATTTTGTCGAAGGAATTGAAAAATAAATCTGTTAGGAATTTAAATTCAACTCCATGTGTTGTTTGGATGGTAGGAAATGCAAATTAAATTAATTACAGATCCTGTTTGGTTTGCAGGAAATGTAATTGAAATTCATGAAAAACGACCGAACTACCATTTTTTCTATTTTGCTTAATCATATGAATTTATCATATGATCATACGAAATCATATCGTATTGAAGGTGTAATTTAATTTCTAGCAAATATATCTAAAACCACACAATCAATTTTTAAAGACATTGTTGTTTCTAAAAAAACATTGGTTTCCAGCAAGAACATGAATAATTTGTTGTTCTTAACAAGAGAAAAAACATTATGTAAACAACATAATCAACTCATTTTATAAACGATTTTCACAATGTATTCGATTACCAGAAAATTTATAAACATGAACATTGATTTTGATTTTAACAACAAACTGTAAACAGGAAAATATAGACACCAACAACAATTTTAACAATTTTTTATTAGCATAAATTGATTTGCTTATCAATAAATCAATTTTCAGGAGACAAGGTTGAGAAAACAGAAGAGAAATCCAGTTTAACAAACCCCTCGATTTTCACAGTGAGAGATAGCGAGAGTGAGAGATTGCGGCATCAATTCACTAACCTGACGGAAGATTGGAGAAGACGACGATCTAGTGGAAGATTGCAGAAGACGATGTGGTTTGCAGAAGAAGATTAGAATGGTTTGGTGGGTATAATGGTAAATTTTGATTTTCCATGTTAATAAGGAATTGATTCCATCCTATTAGTGAAGGACAATATTTTCCCTCAATTGAAGGAATGTTTTCTCATTTAGGAATCCCTTTCCTTCTCTAAAAGTTGAACCAAACGCCGGAATTTGAGGGAATTTGAATCATTTTCCCTCGAATTCCATTCCAATTCTGTCAACCAAACATGCCCTTATTCTCGCACTTTTTTTGTTTCCTTTCATTAACTCACCGTTTTTTTCTTCATGCAACTTATGATTTTGAGCTCATGGTCCTTATATTTTTAACAATTGTTAAAATACACCAAAATATAGTTTTCCTATTTATATTTGATATTTTCTAAATTTCAATGTATCCTTGAACATTTATACTTGAGTAAATTACATAATTAGTCCCTCGTTCAAGTGTCAAATTGCTCGTTTAGTTTCTATTTTCAAAAATTAACTCGAACGGTCCCTTATATCATTAAAAATTGCACGTTTTGTCCCTTAAATCTCTTAGCAGACATAAAATGTCTTATTTGCCCCTCTTCTTTTATTTTTTATTTACCTTTCGATTGTTATCATTATTAATTATAATTTTAACGAAATCATTAAATAATTAGGTCCCACCTTCTTATATCCTTCTTCTTCTTCTTTTCTTTCATGAACCACCACCCCACCACCCACCTGCATCACCGTCGGTGCTCCACCACTACCACATCACCGTTGTTCCGCAGCAAATAAAGACACCATCCAATGTTGTCTCCCTCTTTCTCACCCACTCCCAACAGGAATCCAAAACCCTAGCTAACCAACGACATCATCGGCCTTCCTTTCCTGCCTCCTTCACCCTAGAACATCGGCGATACCACCTCTAACCTCCTTCACTTATATCATCACTAAAAACTGCCTCAGATCTGCAAGTAATCGTCACCTCCAAGCCTTTGTACGTTAAGGTTTCGTCATATTTGTGATGCCATCTCTGTCGGCTAGGTTTTGGATACTACAGGTAACAGATCTGTTAAAACCACATGAAATAACCGTCAAACTCCACCAGATCTGTTGGGTTACCATCGGATACGTTGGGTTGTACATTAGTGAATATGGATTTAGGTGAAGAAGATGAAGCCACCTCCGACAACCACCACCTGGAGTCTGGATTTTCGAACAAGTGACGATGACGGCTTTATCTCCATCTCTCTTGCTCTCTCTTTATCTGTATTGAATCAGTAAACATAAAAAATGTGTTTTTGTGTTCCTCTGCTCCACCTGGTGTTTCTACAAACCTTGTGGTCGACGGTGGTGGCTCAAGGACTAACCGGGAAGAAGAATTAGGGAAGAAAGGGTAGTCGACGGTGTTTCTAAGATAAAAAGAGACGGTGGTCGAGTGGTGTTGTGCGGTGGTCCGATGGTGTTGCATTGTGGTCCGATGGTGTCGTGGGGTGGTCTAGCAGTAGAAGATGAACTCATGAATATAAACTGATGATAAACGATTGAAGGATGTGAGTGAGGTTAGTGTAGATGATAAGTGTTTGTAGTGGTGGGCTCTTTTTTGTTTTTCTTTATTTTTTGTTTTTCTTTTAAATTTTTAATAACAAACAAATCAAAAATATGTCAAAAAAGAAAGAGAAATGGTGAAATGGTTATTTTATGTTCTTCAGGGACAGTCCGAGTGAGAAACAAACATTATAGGGACAGACCGAGTTAATTTTTAAAATAGGGACTAAACGAGCAATTTGACATGTGGATGAGGGACGAATCGTATAACTTACTCTTAATACTTTTAAAATTTAATTGATCTTTGTTATTTTACTTTCATTATATTTCCCTTATAACATATTTCACCTTTAATTATTTATTAATAATTATTTATAACTATATAATATTTTTTTTGTTAAATCAATTTACATAAGTTTATGAAAGTGTTTAATTTTATTTTAGTTCCTTTATTTTTTATTACTTTCTTATGCTTTAAAATATTTATAACTTTATTTAAATACAACGTTATTAATTTTTATCATTAATCTTTTTCTAGTAGTTTTTCTTTAATAAAAATAAAGTTATACATTATTGAATGAATATACATTAAAAGACAAAATTATTTTCTTTAATATATTTAAAATTACATAATATTTAGCTTTTAAACAATATATTTATATAAAAAATCTTATATATAAAAGGAGATGTATTAATTTCTTTTCTAATATTTTTGTTATATATATATATATATATATATATATATATATATATATATATATATATATATATATATATATATATATATATATAATCACACTTAGTGGATATTAAATGGACAGGCGAGGAGCGGAATATTGGGAGCCCTTGTAAATATATAAACATGTTCCGTGTTGTTTTTTTTGTTCACTTCCAATGAATGTTTTGGGTTCTTTTTAATGTATGTAACAAATTTTGATTTATTTATGGATTAACATCCTCTCTTCAAGTTTAAATTTAAGGGGAAAAAATGAAAGAGAAAAAAAGAAAAACAAATGATTCCCTTTCATACCCAATCATCTCATATTCAACTTAACGAGAGAAAAGAAATGAAATTTGTAAAATCGAGAAGAAAATAAAATAAATTGATGTTTCCGAGTTTCATTAAAGAAAAAAAAGTGAAAGGAAGCGAAGAAAAATAGAAGAATCATTTTCCCTCCTAACTTTCCTTCCGGTTTGAAAGGATTTGGAAAGAAAGAACAAAATTATTAATTTTCCTTAAACTTCTCTTCAAATCGGAACACAAAAGAAAATTTTGCTTTGCTTTGCTTTCCTTTCTCTTATTTTCTTTCCTTTTGTTAAACTCGAAAACTAGGCATAAGGGAAAACATTTCATTTCTTTTTCTGTTCCTTTTTAAAATGAAAATGAAATATACTTTCAATTCCTTTTCCTCCTTAAAAAACACCCAAAAAATACAGCATGCCTTTTATTTTCTTCTATTTCTATCCTTAAAAACTCCAAAATACAGTGTGAAAAAAACTTTGTTACACAAGGAAGTTCATTTTTTTAGGACAAAGCCATATAGGCGACCTCTATAGATCAGACTTTATTTTCTTCCCTAATTTGTACATATTTGACAACAATCGAGCACATCTAATTTACTTTTGATTACATGTTATCTGATATATATTATTTGGTTAACTAGTAATCTGTTTTACTTATCATCATTTAATAGGTTAACTGGTATGTATATGATTATATGAATGACGTATTACATTACATGATATTTTGATTAGCAGAATTAAGTGACCCATAGGAATTTTGAAACTTTTTAATATTAAAAATGAAGATTATGGTATCAAATACAATTGGAAGCTCTTTTAGATGGCAACATGCTATTGGATGATGGTGTTCCAGAGGTCAACTTAATCAATATGCGTTAAGAATATATATTTATACCAATCTCATTAATATCATTTGTCTCATAAAAAGTATCATACCAGATCGTGTCAACCAAATCACTTTTTTTTTTTTTTTGTATTTTTATATTTATGTTTCTTTTATATTCCAAACGCATTAAAAGAATGCATTTGAAATTAAACAAATCATACACAAAAAAACACATCAAATAAAAAAATATATCATATATATTTTTTTATTTAACTTATATAAAAGCATGCAAATTTGCACTACTTATGTGGACCAATAGAGCATGCCCATGAAGGTTTAGTAAAATAAACATGGATCAATATCATCAAATAGCAACAAGCTGTGGAATATATATATATATATATATATATATATATATATATATATATATATATATATATATATATATATATATAGAGGGCTGGTCCATAGGATTTTACTGAGCAAAAAAACTTAATAATGCCCTAATACTTATATCTTCAAACTTAACTGTAAGTATATCCCACAACTAATGTTTTTTTCAAACAAATTCATCTTCATACAATTAAAAATTGCAAACATCAATAAAACATTGTCTTCAAGCATTCTTTGAATCAAAAGTAATAATTACAATATCATAATTAACATTATTATTTTCAACAAGCTCATTAGATTTACATTACTTTACTCCTCCTGTAATTGATTTGCAAAAAAAAAAAGTAAAAACTGCAATACCAAAAAATCCCTATGTAAAATGTAAATATAGAAAATTAGAAAACAAAAACGTCATTCTCTTCATTATTTGTACTATAATCGTAAAATTGGAACAAATACTCATGGAATCCACCATCGAAATTGGGAAGGAATTTAAAGAATTTCGACAGCAACGCCAAAACAGTTTAGAATTCCAGCATAACCTAATTAAGGCAATCAACCTAATATGGGATTCAACTCCAAGGGCATAATCGTCCAACACAATTATCCCTTCATAAGCTTTGAAACCAAACTTCGTATAACTTGAAATCAACAATATAAACTACATAAAAATCTAGAAGAAGGGGCTAGAAGAGCAAGAAGGGCATAATCGTCCAATTTTGCAAAATTCATTATGTACAGGGGCAACATCTTTAAAAGCCAAATCAAACAAAACAAGGAAAACGTTATCCTACACCTGGGTGAAACTCCAAGCCAGAAAAGTAACATCGTATGAGAAATCATGGCATCTAGAAAAGCTAACAAACAAATTGAGAACACGGCAATTCAGTAACAATAAGGGCACAATCTTCCCAAGCGGTCGAGAAAGAGGGCGAGAGAAGGCTGAAGCGAACAAGAGAGCGATGAGAGATTGACAGTAGGGAGATGATTTTAAATTCTAATAGAGTAATCGATCCACGGTCCATCTCCATTCTCCAGAAAGGATGCCTCGTGTTCTTCATCTTCAATTATTAGGCGTGTGTTTTAGATTGAAGAGTCATGCGGAATTGATTAGTTGGCGCTAATTAGGTCTCCCATCGGCTGCCCCTGTTTTGACGTGGATTTTAGTGGACTAAGATGTGACCCAATATACAATAATACCTATAACAGGCTTTAAAAAATTGATGCACCACTAGAATTTGATGCCCTGGCTTGGGCCGGCCCTATATATATATATATATATATATATATATATATATATATATATATATATATATATATATATATATATATATATATATATATAGGTTAATTTGAGACCATGTTAATTTTGTGAGACTATGAGACCAAATCTAAAAATAATTTTAAAATGCAAAATAAAAGGAAAAATCCAAAAATTCTTTTTTTAATTGTTATTTTCGGAACTTTATATTCCTAAAATTTTTTAAAAAACTGTTGTTTTTTTTTTTTTTTTGAAAAATACGTGAAATATTCTAATAGAATATTACATTATAAATATTCTAATGTGATTTTTACAATGTTAGAATATTATACTAGAATTCTCAGATATATAGAATATTCTATTATTGTAGCAGAATATGTAAAAAAAATGATTTTTTTTTTTGGTATTGTTTTTTTTTTTTTTTTTGGAAAATATAAATTCCGAAAATTATATTTGAAAATTTTTTTCTCGAAAATTATCAATTATTTTGCATTTTAAAAATATTTGTTGTTTTATCCACTAAATGAATGATTAGAATTGCATCTTACGGTCTCACAAAATTATGTCGTATCATATGAACCTAACCACACACACACACACACACACACACATATATATATATATATATATATATATATATATATATATATATATATATATATATATATATATATATATATATATATATAATTTGGTTATAGAAGGGTAAAGTAGACTTTTTCTCATTTTGATGTGAGGCAATGATTTAATGGAATCCGTATCTGTCGGAAATATCATATGAACCTAACCATATATATATATATATATATATATATATATATATATATATATATATATATATATATATATATTGGTTATAGAAGGGTAAAGTAGACTTTTTCTCATTTTGATTTTAGGCAATGATTTAATGGAATCCGTATCTGTCGGAAATAAATCTATTACTTTTATTTACATGAAAGACGATTTTATTCTTTAAGAATCATTTTATTCATAATGAAAAAAATTACAAATTTAAGCATCTTGTGAAAAGTGTAAAATTGTTTTGATGAAATAAGAGATATTCTGGTGGGAATAAAAATAAATTACAATTACAAATATGTTATTAGAGTGACAATTAAAATACAAATACAAAACCATAATGCTTTTAAGAATGAAAGATTTACAAAAGAAAAATCTAAAATTAAGTTACACACCACCACTTAATTTTGTCAGATGCATGTACGTAGGCATAAATTAAGTTACTCATTGATAACGACGTTCCAACCTTGAATGAAGTTAAGTCTTGGCTTGGAAAGTGTTTTGCCATGAAAGACTTAGGAAAAGCTGCCTATATTCTTGGGATTAGAATATTGAGAGATAGAAAGAAGAGACTAATTGGACTTAGTCAGAGCACATACTTGGATAAGGTACTAAAGAGGTTTAGTATGGAAAATTCCAAGAAGGGAGAGCTACCTATCCAGAGTAATACCA